AGTCTTTCTATGTAGAAGTTATAGTCATTATTTACACGAAGATGAGGGCAATACCGAATTACATGCTTCATCACTCACTTCTCATTGGCTGTATGCAGGTTAGAAGGCAGTCTCACTATTAGAGAGTAAAGGAGCAGACATGCCACCTTCCCTTTAAGGTTTAGCCCTGGTATTTAACCAACCAGCTTAGAATGTCCTGTCCCTATTTTGAGAGTGGTGCTTTAGAAGAAGTGAACATAAAGATGGTCAAGTAACAAGTAAGTCTCAGGTCTTGACTCTCGAGTTCTGAGTCAAGTCCCAAGATAGTCGAGTCTCCATTCAAGTCCCAAGTCAGTACAGGCGAGTCAAGTCCCAATTCTTAATCTTTGAGCCATAAACCTGTCAGTGTGCATTCTACAGCAAATTTAAGGCCATTTTAACACTGAACACCAAAAATGATGGTAAATGTAACATTGCTTTTTAATGACAGTATGTTAGTAGTGTGTGGCTGTATATTAGGTTTTTTTACCTTTCCAAATAAAATACAAAATTCATGGTACACAGATGACCATGACAGACATAATGGTACACAAAGAGCAGTGCAACTACACATGAAAAGAATATTCAAAGTATTTTAATTAAAAAAGGATATTTGAATTTTTATTTTATGATGTTTCAGGGCATTTAGAGCACAGGATTAAAAGTAAAAACAAGCTCAGCACTAAAACTAGCTCAGCAAACTCAAAACAACTGATGGAAACCAAAATAACCAAACTGAACAAAGTTTACAGAAAAGACAGCAAAATAGTGGTGAATGTACAAATCTGAAGTTCAAATTTTCCAAAAATGGTCGTTTCACCTGGTAAGTTTCTCTAGTAAGACTGTAGTTTCAGTGCTAAATTAGAATTCATTGATGCTTTGATTATTTCAAGCTAATAGAGTTGTGGGAATGTTGGGGTGTAGGGATCACAGGACTGCACTAATTTATGTGTAGCGTGACGGTTCAGAGGCTGAGTTCCCCTCGAAAAGATCAGGCGGGGCTCCAAAGTTCGACTTGCACACACGTGATGTTTTATTTATACACAAACACACAAAAAGTGAAAGAAAAGAGTGAAAGCATAAAATAAACGGGTTGCAGTGCAACTAAAAAGACTAGGACAAAATGGATTATTGCCATGTATCTACGCAGTCCCCTATGGATGTTCCTGGCTAAGCGTCAGCCAGCTTGTGCCGGAGACACATAGACACATCCTTTCTTTTTCTCTCGAATGAATTTCACGCCCCCCTTTTAACACCCTAGCCCCGGCCCATCTGGTCAACCCAAACCATTCCCCCGGGCTAGTGAGGGGATACACAAAACAAACAACAACCAAACGACTTCAGGATAAACACAATACAAATAATACACATAACAAGAAGCTTCTTTTTTACCGGTAATCACACTCATTTATATTCATTTACTCCTAACCCTTTTCTGTCTCTCCCCACAGGTTCTCGGATCCCACCTCCCCCCCTTCTACACACAGCCGTGGGCTCTACCGGCCAGTATAAGGGAAGCCCTGGAAGACGCCCACGCTCCCCTGAGGATCAGGACAGAACAAGGTAAGTATTTCTTCTATGTACATTTTACAATAATTTAAGTTTCACTCAAGTCATTGTCCCCCTTTTTATGCCCCGGTGTCCTTTCACAATCTTGGTGAAGGAACAGATTTACTGACTCCATCACAAGAGTCAAACGTGAATTCTATGCTTCACTTGTCTTCCAAAGTAAAATAAGACAAGCATTAGAACAGTAACAGACACTCAGCGACATTGCTGTATATTAAATTTACAGCAGGAAATGAATCCAGTCACAGGAAGAGTAAGATAGCTAGAAAGCTAAATAGTGCTGAACTGTTTCTTAGACAGTGAGTATTAGAGGTAGAACTAATATCTAAGTACTTTGGCAGTGTGAAATTCTTCATAGCTCTATTTAAAACTACACTATATTGCCCAGCTGTACAAAAAGTGATGATTTAATCAGTAAAGCTAGATGATTAATGCAATGATTACAAATATAATTGATTCAGAATGTGATCTGTCCTCACCTCTTATTACAAAATAAAATGTAGATCAAATCTGTACAGGAACAGGGTCTCAACAGAAACACGTGCAATAGTCCCATAATCTAATGAATACTAAGACTACTGCTTCAAATTTTAATCAAAACTGAAAATTTAAACTTTACAATTTAGATGAACAATTTTCTGAATGATTTAAAGCCCATTACATGCTGTACGCTGTTACCATATGGCAAGAAAATGCAAAATTCCCCTCTCAAAAAATCTATGTATATATTTTTCTCTTTTTGTTTCATATTTTTTATAAATTATGCCATTTCAAAAGATTTTTTTCATATGTATTTCACAATTCATGCAGTAAAGCATTACATTTGTGAGGCATTTGCACTAAGTATTCATAAATGTGTCTGAGTTGTATGTAGATGAAGCCGGGACTCCACTGGCGTTTGATACGTTGTACGCATCTGTAGAGAACAAGCAAAAGTTAGGTGCCATTTTACAGTGCAGGATACTGTTCAGATTGAATGCAAGGCAATACATAACTGGGCCAAAATGCTAATGATGTGTTTGTAGAAATGATTAACAGATGTAAGTAAATTCATTTTTTTACTCATTGCTACATTTTTGCTAATTATTAAGCGGATAAAATATAATTCAAGCAGAAGTTACTCATGTCAGTGCCAGTTCTTCTCATATGCAAACAATGCAGGCTGCTTAGGGCCCCCAACTGCTGGGAGGCCCCCCATGGCAAGCATATTTCATAGCTATTAGAAAGGTATATTATACACTTAGAAATTATTATGGCAGACCATATTTCACAAGCAATTAAGTAAGTTTGCAAAGGTATCTGACACTTGTGGCCTTAGTAGGAGTTGTGTGTTTTTTTTTAATATATGCCCATTTTGAATTTAATGTCAGCAACACGTTTCAAAGAAGTTGGGACGGGGGCAACAAAAGACTAGTAAAGTTGTGTAGTGCTCAAAAACACCTGGTAGTCGATTAACAACAGGTGAGTAACATGATTGGATATAAAAAGAGCATCTCAGGGAGGTCAGAGAGTCTTTCAGAAGTAAACATGAGGTGGGATCCACCACTTTGTGAAATGTGAATAGTGCAACAATTGAAGACAAATGTTTCTCAATATAAAATAGCAAAGAACTTGAAGACTTCATCATCTACGGTACATAATATTGTTAAAAGAGTTAGAGAATCTGGAGAAACTCTGTATGTAAGGGACAAGGCTGAAAATGTGATGATGGCTGTGATCTTTGGGCCCTCAAGCAGCACTGCATTAAAAACAGACTTGATTCTGTAGTGGAAATCACTGCATGGGCTCAGGAACACTTTCTGTGAATCCACAAATACAAGTTATGGTTTGTACCATGCAAAAAAGAAACCGTACATAAACAGGATCCAGAAATGCTGCCACCTTCTCTGGGACTGAAAATGGACTGAGGTGAAGTGAAAAGTGTTCTGTGGTCCGACAAATCAAAATTTCAAATTCTTTTTAGAAATCTGTCCTCAAGACAATCCAGCTTGTTCTCAGTGCACAGTTCAAAAGCCAGCATCCGTGACTGTATATGGGAGCATTAGTGCACATGGCATGGGTGATGTGCTCATCTGTGAATGCACCATTAACAATGAATGATATATACAGGTTTTGGAGCAACATATGCTGCCATCCAGACAACGTCTTTTTCAGGGAAGGCCTTAGGAAGTTAATGTCAAACCACATTCTGCATGTATTACAACAGAATGGCTTTGTAATAAAAGAGTGAGCATGCTAAACTGCCCTGCCTGCAGTCCAGGCCTGTTACCACTGAAGACATTTGGCGCATTAAGAATGAAAAATACAACAAAGAACAACTGAAGCTGTTAAACTGTTGAACAACTGAAATCTTCATCAAGCAAGAATGAAAAACATTTCACTTTCAAAACTACAGCAGTGTCTCCTCAGTTCCCAAACACTTACAGAGTGTTGTTAAAAGAAGAGGTGATGCAGCACCGTAGTAAACAAGTGCCCGTCCTAATGTTTTTTTTTAATATGATGCTGGCATCAAATTCAAAATGGGCATATATATAAAACATTTTCATTTTTTTTTCAGTTTCAACATTTGATGTTGTCTTTGTACTATTTTCAATTAAATATATGATTTACATGATTTGCATCATTGCATTCTGTTTTTATTTACATTTTTAACAATGTCCCAACTTTTTTTAGAAAAAGAGTTGCAAAAGAACAACCACGGATGATTTATAATGTAGTAATTTAGTCATAATTTCCGTGCAGATACCCACATTACTGATTACCCAAGAACTGAAGTTTAGGTTCACCATTTAGGTTCACTGTTATTACAGCCTGTTACTGTGTCAGTACATATTGCACCTGATCCTTTAAAGACATAACAGGTGAAAAACAAAGGAAAAACAAGTGAAGTAGTATTTTACAGCTCTAATACCATTTCAGCACAACTACTTCACTGTTTTTAGAGTAATAACCCTAATATTATAAAATATTATTACAAAAAGTAAAAGAGATGGGGTAATATTTTGGTTAACCAGATAGGATGAACATTGTATAATATAATATTACATAAAATGTAAAGAATGTCAAAAGAGGCTACAGTCAGTTACTAATTAGTTGTTTTGTATTTATCTATGGGTAATTAGAGTTTGTCACCACTGTTTTTCCATTTCTTTACCAACTAGTTATGGCTACAATAACTAACTAGGAACAACAAGAAAAATATTTAGGTTATAACTTGTTACAATAATATTATCATATTATTACCCACTTTTTTACCAATTTGTAAAGTGTTACTGAGATATTACTGCTACTACTTCTACTACTACTAATTATAATAATAAAAGCAACAGTTTTTCTTCCCGCAATTTTTAGAAGTCCTGCTTATTGCAAGTAAAGATTAATAGTTAATGAGAGATAAAACTGAATCTGTCAGCTCAATACTTACTTCTACGCCCCTGTCCACTAGAAGATGATACGCCTGCACTAGTAGTCTATAATGTTGAAGGAAACAAAGTAAAACATGGTTCAGTAACAATCCATTAAAAATTTAATGTAAGCGCACACATCACTGAAATGCTGTGATCTGATATGAAACGGAACTTACCTTGGTTTGGCCAGAGCTGAAATTCTTTAGACTCAATTTTCCTGCCAGTTCTTCACGGATCTGTGATCAATATATATATTTTGTAATATACTGAATATTTAGCCTGAGAATCTTATTTGCATTTGAGAATAAAGTAAGAAAAAGAGAATACATACCTTACTATCCAGCAGAATTCCAAACACAAAAATAAAGAAACCCTTTGAAAAGACCAAAAAGACAACTTGACTTGTCAAACAGGTCAAACATTTTTTCATAGTTTATCAAGTTTACAGAATCGTCCAGCTATGGAGGCCCATAAAAAATGCTTGTTTTTGGCAGCAATATTTGTCAACATTTGTGTCTTTTTAATAGCTTGACATTTTATTTCAATTGTAATACTACGTTTGACTGTTTATCATAAAATAATGACATCTTTTTCAGGATTTTGGCTTAGTGGGATAAATTAATGATAGATTTTCTCCACAAATGTTACTTATGCTAATATTTTTGACATGGTTTCTTGACATTTTGACTTGAAGTCATGAGTTTTCATCCTTTGAGAAAGCATGACATTATTCCACGATAAGTGAATATCCTGAGAAATATTTGACGTTTAATTTGACACATTAGAGAGAATAAGTAGCTATTTAGACACACAAATTTCAAGAAGAAGTCTGAGATAAAAAGTCAAATGGTCAACATAGGTAAAAGCAGTGACATACTGCTGACAGAAACAAAGAGGAGGGGGAAAATGATTGGTTGAAATGAGCTTAATGTTATTTTAAATTTCAGATATTTTAAGGCCATAGAGGCAATCAAGACTTAAGTTACAACAAAAATACATGAATAAAACATTAGTACCTGCAGAGAATTGAGGATGGCAAACACAATGTGAATCCCTAAAGCAGATGACACCATGGTCCCGATGCCGAACGCCCAGGTCAGACCAAAGAGAGGGGTTAAAATGGCCACACATCTGGTAATGACCAATATGGCATGTTTCTCATCTGGCTGAGTGGTGGCACCAACTCCCCTCCTTAACATCTTACAAATGACCACAAGCAGCACCAGGAAGTTTATAGCTACGATACTCAGAGCAGGAATCACAAATGCCAGCATGGCCATTGTTTTTTTCCAGTTCAGCCAACAGGCGTTCTCCTCCTGGATGTATCCTCCACCTCCAGCTGTTGACGCCACAGTGACGACGGCTATCAATAACGGGGCCCCATAGCCAAGAAAGAATGCTATGACCATCATCACAGGTTTGGATGTTCTGGAAAACACCAAAACGGTGCGGTAGAAGAGCAGGAGTGCTGAGAACAACATCCAGAAGAAGAGAGCAAGGTAAAAGAAGTGCATGAAGAACGTTGCTGCACTGCAGGGACCCACTGGTGTCTGTTCTCCTTTGTTAACGATAGCTGCTCCAATGATGAAGCATATGTCCGCAATCAGGAGGGACAGAGCGATGTTGACCATGGAGACGTGGCGCATGTAGGCTGTGTCATTCTTGGTCAATGGCTTCCATACGATGATCTCAATAATGATGGCCAAAATTAAGCAGATCATTGAAATGCCGACACAGATGAACGTTATAAAACCTAAAACAAGACTGTCCACAAAAAAAGGTGACATCAGGATCGAGAATGAGGTTGTGTGGTTGCATACACATGTAATCTTTTCAGTTTGATTCGAAAGCTTTATTTCACATCCAGTTGAGTCCCATCCTCCAATCCCGTCCAAAAGACTGTAGTTCCAAAAGACACACTGAGGGCTTCCCAGTGATGTATTTGTAATATCAAAGGTAAGAGAGAGGTTGTAAACTGTATTGTTCACAATAATTGCAGCCACGTCTCCATTGATTTTGGTTTGATTGCCATTGTAAGTTGTATTTCGAACAGGCAAGACATTGTCAAGAGTTGAGAAAACTATGGTGGTGATTGAAGTCAGTCCATTAAACTGTGGGATATCTATCTCTGTAGTGGAATTTGTGCCAAATGTTCCAAAAAACGAACCAGACGTTTTAGTTCTGTTCAGTTGGGTGCTGTTTGTTGTTATGCTGAAGCTTGCGTCTGTTAGTGTGCTCCCCATTTCCTCAGTAGACCTCAGAAGTGCCGAGCTTGCGTTCTCAGTTGTGTTGCCTCCGTTCAATATCTGCCATGTAATCTGAGCTTGCTTTGACCCAATAACGTCCACTGTTTTTAGGAAATTCTGAAAAATTCATTAAATATTGCACCAACAAGTTATTTAATTCATCACATGTAATGAAACACACAAAACGACAAATATCAAATTCAAAATTGCCACAAAACCAGACAAAGACTGTCATACATACCGTCATAATGGGCTTATCGACCCTAAATGACTGTGAGACGTTGGCAATGATTTTTAGTAAGTCCACAGTTGTTAAGACATTCACAGTAGAATTTGTTATCTTATCAGCAAACGTTTCAGTGACATTTTGGAGGTCAGCCATAAACTGTGGAACATCTGCAGCTTGTAAATTCTACAAAAAAAGCATAATGGTTTACTATGGATATTCAAAACATTGTATCCGCTCATTGGCTAATGCATTTGATAGAAACAAGAATGTTATATTACCATAGCTCTTTCTAGCAGGTTCTGGAGGGCACGCAAGATACAGTTAGTTTCCTCAATGGCCCAGTAACCTTTTGTTGTGTCTGTTGGGTTGGATTTACAGCGAGCCGTCACATTGCCAACGCTGTCTGCATCACAAGCACTAGTCGCTTCTTCACCTTTATTCCCACCTCCAAATTGATCACTGTAGCAGAACGTATCTGTGGTGGTGGTGGGGGGTGGGGGGGGTGCGAAATATTAGCTGTCCAGCCATAAAAAGGTTCTTTGAGAATCTTGAAGAAATGGGTTGATGTAGGGGAGCGCAGAGCATTAACTAAAATTAGCTTTGCTGCCAGGAAGTACCGTGATTGTTTTTTTTTGGACCCTTATTAGTCCCACAACGGGGAAATTTCACCTCCGCATGTAACCCATCCATGCAGTGAAACACCACATACACACTAGTGAACACACACACTAGGGGCAGTGAGCACACTTGTCCGGAGCAGTGGGCAGCCCTATCCACAGCGTCCGGGTAGCAGTTGGGGGTTAGGTGCCTTGATCGAACCGGCGACCTTCCGGTCACAAGGCTGATTCCCTAACCTCCAATGATGATGGAAATATGGATAGGCAAGCAGGAACTGGCAAAATCCCGACAGATGCGGCCAGCTTAGCTTACTATAGATACCAGATGCTGTGTGCACATGTGAATGGAGAGTCTTAGGCAGAGATTTCTCCAACCCCAACCACAGTGACTCAGCTTTGGTCTCTCAAATCTGAGGCTTTATCTGCTAAAATTGTGTCTGTGCAGCATCAATTAGCCAAAATCAAACCTGTGTTGAGCTGTTAGCTGTTTCATTTCGCAACTACTTACAATCTAAAAACATCTAAAACACAGGGATTTTCACATTATAGCCCCTATAAAACAGCTGTGCTCTTCAATGTGGTCGTGTTTGTTTGTAAATAATGTTATGCTGTGACTTTCTGGACAACTGTACATTCTCAGCAAAAAGGGTTCTATATGATACTATAGAAGGATAAATAAACAACTCACTCTTTGACGTCACATTTAATCTGACAGAACCATAAGTGTAGAGGTCTCCATTGAGCTTGCGGACCTCCCATATGAACGTTAGAATTTTGTCCGTGGTGTTACAGTTCCCCACGCTGCTACTTGGGTACGTATAGGTGTTGCAACCTGTCGTTGGGACTGCACAAAAAGAGAAATGGGCTTCAGGAAAAGAACCATTGAGGCAATCATAGAAAAATGTTTCTCTGTTTACTCTGGAAACGTGTTTCTTTACCACATGTACTGAAACAATACAAATCACATTTTACATTTATTTAAAAAGTCCAAAATGTTTAATTTTTAAGTTAGAAATTACATTCACATGCTGAAATTCTAATAACTATGGCAAGCTGTCCTAGATTTTTTTTTTCTTATTTTTCTTGATCTCAGGAATTCAACTTACACATGTAAACATTACGTTTGAACTAGTAAATATTAACAATTTTACATTTTTTGATAAAAAGAATTTGATTTGCACATGAAAATTAAATATTTAATATTCACTAGTAAAAATTCAGTTTTTACTTGTAAGAAACAAATTGTTTATCACTCTGCTTATGTATTCTACATCTTGGAAGGCTTAGCTGCTACATTCCAACCAAATTCATAGGCCCGTCTTGTACTTTTGCATTGTGCCACTACACATATGTTCCGGGGAGGTTAGTGAGCATGGATGCTGAAAAAGCATAAACTAGTGCAGGAGGCACGTTGATATTTTCAGTGGTTCACAGTTAATCTGCTCAAACAAAATACAGAAATTGTGTCTGCTGTTTGTGTGTTTGACCTGTTAGTGGCCCAGCTGGATCAGCCAAGCTCCACTGAACTGTATAGGCGCTCGCAGCACAGCACTGCAGAGTGATGGACGAACCACATTTCAACGTTTTTGAGGAATTCACATTGACGTTGGGAAATGGCTGAACTGTCATTATTTGAAAGATTATGTACGCCATTGAGTTTACAGTCGTTCTGCATGCATATTTACCTGTAAGGCAAAGAGAAAATTATGATTAAAGTAACTGATAAAAGAAATAATTCAGATCAGAAAAAAACCTTTTACAGTGATGATTTCAGTCCTGCATCTGAAACTACTTTTTAAACTATTTAAAAAAAAAAAGGAAAAGTATTTAGGTCCTTTGATAAATGACATTAAATGGAATTTTTGTAATAATAATAATAATAAGAAGAAGAAGAAGAAGAAGCAAAAAAAGACAAACAGAACAAACAGAAATTACTTATTGATATATACATTGTCATAATACTTAATTTTAGTTAGCTTGTCGATCAACTATTCATTTTTATCAGTCAGCTAGTACACTGTTCCTCAGCCCAGACCCTGGAGGCTCACTGCCCTGCATATTTTATAGCTTTTCCTGCTTTAACACAGTCAATTATGGTCTGTTAATGGGCTGATTAGTTGGATCAGGTGTGTTGGGAGAAGAAAAAACACTTAAAAGTGCAGGGCAGTGGGCCTCCAGGACCAGGGTTGAGACACACTGAGCAAGTAGTCTTTTTAAAACTACATCTACACTGTCCAACTGCTCCTATCAAGACCACCACGAACAGGAGCAGAGGGGATGGTCTCTGACTCTGGCCACCATCAGTGCCATCTTGTAGATAAAAAAGGAGTCTGGTATCCTGTTATTCTACCACAGGGTTTGTAAACTTTTTCAGAGTGTGACTCTTTTTTAGGACTAAAAATAACTTGAGAAATAACTTGAGACACTGAAAATGGGTTATTTTATATGTTCTTCACAGAAAATGAGCAAAGACCAAGAATCTGAGGCTGAAATAATAATAAATCATATTTTTTTCTTTTGGTAAACATTGAAAACGGGTTCCACAGACCTGAACACTAAATGTTTGTGCTAGTGCTGGTGCAATTTGTGTGCACAAAAACACACCAGAGTGTGCACATAAGCTTTTTTGTGCATGCACAAGAGGCACCCCTGAGCAAAGTAGATTAATCGATTTAGATTAATCGATATTTAAACTGTTCAACACATTTCAGAATTTAACTCTTTGTTTTCCTCCTTATTGGCAGTTTAAATACAGATCTGACTGGATTTGTTTATTAGCGCCTCCAAAAAACATTAGTATACTAGTTGACTAGTCTTTGCACTCAGAATCTTCGATACCTCACCTGACATGAACAAATATAAAAATATCATCATATCTTATCAATTAATCATGACCTACCACTGTCCTGATCACTGGTGCTTGTCACAGTGAGTGTTTTCCTATCAGTACTGATTTGATATTTAGTACTGGGGCCAAGACTGTAATCATTCAAACTCCAGCTTATTCCTCCAGTACTTGAGGCTGGAGGATTACAGGTCAAAACCATATCTTTTCCAGGGTAAATGTAGTCTTTGCTATTATATAATCCATTTTCCACTAAAAACAAAAGCCAGAGACACGTAGTTAGCTTTGTATAACACATTTATGTAACAATAAATAAAAGACTCCATTCGCTATTAAGTGAAATGTGAAAAATCAATGTCAACAAACTTTAAGTACAAGTATAATGTTGGGCAAAGCAAACTTTTATAATATTAATTAGTTAAGAGTAATAACTGTGAGGGGTGCTGTAGGACAAATAGCACACAGAATGCAGAGCATGATAAAGACTATACTCTGTACATTAGTTACATTACTGCTATATTTTGATATTATAATTTTTATTATTATGTTTTTAAAAGAACAAAAGTAAAAGATAATAAAAGCGTTTAAAGCTAAACATAAATATGACCTTACCAATTTCAGCAAATGAATCTGCACTCACTGGATATCCTTTGTCACTGAGAACAGAAGCCAACTGTATGTTTGCTGCACTAAAATCAAGTGTATCACTTGTTGTTATAATGCTGATGTCTGCTATCACACTGCCAGCCCTGAAATAAAAAACACACCAAACATAATTCGGGACATAAATATACAGAGCGATAGTGTCCACACATTTCAAATTAAAGCACAGGGCAGATATTTCCAGTTCAGTTATATCTGTGGTTTTTGTTGCTTGTTATGAAAAGTGTTCATCACTAATTTGGAACTAGTGTCTCTTTTTTTCTGAGTAATATTTAATAAACCATGTGCAGAAAGCCTGTCTTGGTCACTTGGGAAAATAAAAAATTGGTAACACTTTATTTGGATGTTCCACTGTAGAACTTCAAGTTCAGTATGAAAGATTTTATTAAATCTAACCCTAAACCCTAAACCTCACCCTAACCTTAACCTCAAAGGCAAAACCTACACCTATTCCTAACCATAACCATACTGCTGTTGACAATCAACTGAATATCACCAGGAGGTTGCCTCTAGTCAGACTATTCTTGTAAAAACCTTAATGGTTAGACTAATATATATATATATATATATATATATATATTAGTCATATATATATACACATACATCATCTAAACCGCTTATCCTTCTGGGTCGCGGTGGGGTGCTGGAGCCTATCCCAGCTGTCATTGGGCGGAAGGCAGGATACACCCTGGACAGGTCGCCAGTCCATCGCAGGGCAGACAGACAGACATACACATTCACACACACACACTCACACCTAGGGGCCATTCAGCACGTCCGATTGACCTGACTGCATGTCTTTGGACTGTGGGAGGAAACCGGAGTACCCGGAGGAAACCCACGCAGACACGGGGAGAACAGGCAAACTCCACACATAAATGACCCTGGTCACCTGGCCGGGAATTGAACCCAGGCCATTCTTGCTGTGAGGCGACATATATAAATATAAAATATAAAAGAAGAAAAACAGCCTTACCTGAACTGAATGACTTTCGCGGAACCAGCTTTGTATGAAGAGGAAAGTGCGCTTCCGTAAACACTGTTAACCTGAAAAAGATTTTATTTTTATTGACAGTTTGTATTTGATGGATATGGAAAGCATATAAATATATGCCATACTCACTGAACTTGTGATGTCAGTGCTGTACTTTGCGTACGTTGAACTGCTTGTGTCTGTGAGTGTGCTGTCAAACACTTGATTTATTTTCATTGATATAGTTCTAGTATTTTCTGGAAAAGAAAACACATGAAAAAGAACAGCAGTTATGAAAACAAATGAAAAAGAACAGTTATGAATGGACCATTCTACCAAATTATGCCAAACTGCGGTCCCTCAGTAAAATACTATATTAAAAAACAATGAAGAATTTTTACAAAGATGATGTCACAATCTATTAAAATATAATGCATTCATTAAAATAGTAATAAGCTAAATATATACACCAATCAGACATGACATTATGACCACCTCCTTGTTACTACGCTCATTGTCCATTTTATCAGCTCCACTTACTATATAGGTGCACTTTGTAGTTCTACAGTTACAGACTGTAGTCCATCTGTTTCTCTGTATACTTTGTTAGCCTCCTTTTACCCTGTTCTTCAGTGGTCAGGACCCCCATGGACCCTCACAGAGCAAGTACTATTTGGGTGGTGGATCATTCTCAGCACTGCATTAACACTGACGTGGTGGTGGTGTGTTAGTGTGTGTTGTGCATGTACGAGTGGATCAGACACAGCAGTGCTGCTTGAGTTTGGCATGAAAAAATCACTTCCAACAGTGTGCAAAGCTGGTAGAAACTAAACAGACTTAAAGCTGTTTTTGTAGTAAAAGTTGGTTCTAGCAAGTACTAGTTTGAAGGGTTTGAATACATATGCTAACAGCAAAATTACTATCTGGAACAATCTGTAATCTAGAAAAATCTAACCTCTTTTAATGGGGTTGAAAACTTTTGCCAGGCACCATATTTGGGTCTGTTATTAATATCTTCTAGGAGACCGAATGAGTTTGAATACAAACCCATCCTTATGTGTTCCTGTGCTTGTCTATGTCATCTACAGCAAAAGTGACAGTGATTAAATTCATTTTTAAAGAGGATAAAGAAATTTGGAATCATACCTGTAATTGTCTTCGCTGTTGTTGTAGATCATGTGATGGAAACAAAAGCACGTCAAGATTAATCATAGATTTTAGAAAATACATCTCACATATCTCAACACCTGGGAACAAGCAGAAGCATTTAAACTGCCCTGAAAGCAACACTGGAAACCAGATCATCTTTCAACGTAAGAGTTAAAGTGAGAGAAGCAGAAGCCCAAAAACAAAGTGTCCCTAATGACCTTAACAGTTAGTACCTGTCTATTATTCATGACTTCACATTAACTGAACTGTGTTTGAACACAACCTCATCCTTACTTGTGTCTAATGCTTGTCTACTCAGTTTCACACAATCACCATTTTCAAACAAGGAATTAAAAAAGGTAGAATCACATTTGTAAACCATACCTGTAGTTACTGGAGCAGCGGTTGCTGAGAAAGAAACAAGATTACTTCAAGATGTTGTAACGGTAAGAGCACATTTCATAGGTTTTATGCAACAAATTTCAAGTCCTAATGCAAAGTGGAAAATGAAGCACATAAAAACACAAAGATAAGAAAGTATCTGTCAATCTAAGGGTGAGTTAATCATGGGACCAACCTGATTTCACTCATGTTTCATTAGTTATTGGAGATATTTATTTAATACACAGTATTTACTTATTTGTTTGGTAAACCATCAATCTGCTTTACAGATGATCTCCTAAACCAGTTAATAAATCATTACATAGACAGAATACTTTCTGTCGTTGGGCTCAGTCGTAGCCTCTTAAACTCCTTGGAACCACTGGTGGTGCCAAAACGCACTTTATCATATTCCTCATAACTTTCATATTTCATAAGCTACATTCAGAAGGTGGGGGTCGTATGAGAGCTGTAACTGTCTTCTTTCCAGTCAAATAGATGGGTGATGTAATTTTAAGCCCTTATAATAAAAGAAGCTGAACTCACAATTTTTTTTTCTACTGAAAGTCGACCCATTTTTCCACAAATCTGGGCTATAAACTATAAACAGATGGCGTCTCTTCAGTGATCAGCTCTGTAAAAATGATTTTTATAAATAAATACAAAGAGCGTCTAAGATTTTTGGCTTTCAGCAGTAAATTGTAAGCATATAGCAATATGTGTGATCATAAAACACATGTTCTGTTAATTTGAGGGGAACTTTTACTAAAAAAAATAAATAAATAAAAATTTACATTTATTTCATACAGTTACTCAATAATTTGCCTTACAGTTTGGTCATGTAAATTCAGATGGACAAACCAAAATATACCCTTTAGAATAAGAGGTTAAAATTTATCGTATAGCTGATGTTTAAAGAACTCTGGCCTTTACTCTAAGTTTCATGTTATAGCAGTGTAAACACATCCGTCTCTCCAAGACTCAGGCTACGTTCACATTACAAGCCTCATTGCTCAAATATGATTTTTTTGCTCAAATATGATCTCTCTGACATGATGGTTCACTCGTTTAGGTAAGTGATTTAAATCTGTCATTAATGTGACGAACCGGCTTCCTGAAATTACCCGCATGAGCACATCCTACTCAGTAACGTCACGTGAATGAATCACGTGCATCATCAGCACAACGAGCAGAACGAGCTTCGCTGAGAAGATAATTAACTCTGATTGTGAGCGACCAAAGAAACCCACAAATGTAAGTATTTTCTCCATTAACAAATTACGATAACCATTGTTTTATCTTAGTTTAATGTAGTTTCAGTGTATTGTGGTCCTTTTCTTCATAACAAGCTTAAAAAATCACTAGTACTATACTAACATCTCGGTAGCTAGCTAAATTTCTCATTCCACCTTAAATAGTCCAGCAGTTCTGACGTCTGAAGCGCCAGAATGTAACTGCTGCTCCAATTTTTAGTGAAAAGGAAAAATTCAAAAGAGAAGCTGGTGAAAAAAAACTGACTTCAGCTTCATATCACTGAAGAATAAGGGGTGGGTGATAACAAATCATTTTCACACACACCTCCCCTCTTTGAAGCCATGTGATGCCCTAAATGTAACTAAAGCCCAGCAGTGAGGAGCTAAACTTTACCCTCCTCTGCTGTCACTGCAGAGTGGCAGGGTCACCTACAGAGCAGCGCTAGTAGCTGTTAATGAAGCAGTGTTTTTTTTATTTGAGGGTCCCATTTCATAGGGGAAGATTCAACAACTACCCGTTGTGACTCAGAGGGGCAAGGTGAGACTCAAAAACAAGGGGTAGGGGTAAAAAGAAGAAATGGGATTG